ATGGAACTACTGACATTATGGCCCCTAGCTGCTCTTCAGGTCTGGAATTGGACCCACTTCTGTGGCTTCCATCCAAACAAAAGACAGGCATATGAGCTGAACATTTACATTAGGTAGATACACTCCTTGGAGAGATCGATCATGGGAGAATAGAAGGGCTATGAATGCACAGAGAGATAGCTCAGGGGGCAGGAGTGCATGGGAGGGAAGGACACAGGGAAGAGGTGGCTATGGGGAAGAAGTAGGAGGAGAGCCATTACATTGTGGGAGATTACAGTCAATGTCATGAGATAAAGTGTAGGTGAACTGTTGTATGGAAGATGAATTTGCTCTGTAAACTTTCACCCAAATCACAATAAAATTAAAAAACAAAAAAACAAAAACTAACCTATAGAACAGGTTTAGTCTATAACATGTGGAGTCACCATTAGTCAAAATCAACTTGACAGCAACAGGTTAACCTTCACCTGACCAAGCTTTAAATAATTGATAATCATCACCATCATCACTACTACCACCAAAGGACATATACAGTATTCATTGGGTGCCAGTAACTATTCTTAATACTTTGCATATTTTGGCACTCAAGTCTCTAAATAACTTATAAACCTATGATATTTGTATCATTGTAATCTTAATTTTACATGATGGGGGCACAGAATGGAAAAGTAAATTAATTTTCTTAAGGCCAAACAGTAAGTAGCAGAACATGAATTTGAAGGAACTCTACCATAAGGCTTGATACCTGCTTCTAACACATAAGGGGCTCAGAAAAAAAGCAAAAATGCAGGAACCAACCTATACATTTAAATACTTAGGAGCTGTAATTCAAGCTAATAAACTCTTAAAAATACATATTCTGTTCTTTCTATTTGACAAATATACTTGGAAAGAGCTTGAAAGTTCAGGTTCATATTTAAAATTCTCAGACCCTTCACAATTCCACACTATAAGCATGGTCTATCTCCTTTCTCTTTGCACTCATGGTTTGACATTGTGATTAAAGGACTCAGTTATTAACAAAATGGTTGACAGTTCAAACCCACCAGCTGTGGGAGAAAAATGTGTAGGCTGTTTCTGTAAAGATTTCAGCCTTTGAAACCCTATGTTATTGTTGTTGTTATGTGCCATCAAGTCGGACCTGGTTCATAGCGACACATCCTTGGGTTTCTGAGGCAGTATCACTATAGAAGTAGATTGCCCAATCTTCCTTCCAAGGAGTGGCTGTTGGGTTTGAACATCCAGCCTTCTGATTAGCAGTCAAGTGCTTTAGGTACTACCCCCTACCAGAGCTCCCTTGAAACCTTGTGGAGCAGTTCTAATCTGTCCTATTGGGTTGCTACGATTTGTCCTATTGGGTTGAATCAATTTGATAGCAATAGGTTTGGGGTTTTTGTGTTTGGACTACCTGAAGCATCATCTAGAAATTGGGTGACAAGCTCCAGGCAGGATTTCTTAATCCTCGTTTTAGTAGGTATACAGTTGAAACAGACTCAGAATAAGGTCCACAGTAGAAGACCCTCTTATCTAAGTCTAAGTGGGATACTGACTTAATTTCAAAAGTGATGATATTTTTTCCTTTCATGATTGTGAAGATTACAGCTAATGTAGATGAAGCCCCTCATGTAGATCCTGTGTGAGATGTGTGTTATTGTGCTGGATTAGAGGGAATAGGTGGTCATTCTGTTAGTATTTGCAGTACACTTTGAAATGAAGTAGTAAATTTTCTCATTAATATTTCATGGTTAAAATATATATTCTTTTTGTTGTTGTTGTTATTTTTGGTAGATGGACTAGAGGCTTTTACCAGATTCCTTAAAACTGAATTCAGTGAGGAAAACATTGAATTTTGGACAGCCTGTGAAGATTTCAAGAAAAGCAAGGAACCTCAACAAATGATCCTTAAAGCGAAAGCAATATATGAGAAATTTATACAGAATGATGCGCCACAAGAGGTATAGTAAAAATGATTATGGAAACATGCAATTGCTTAAAAATTTTGTTAAAGAATAGGCCTTAATGAAATTAGAAACTCATACATACCATCACAAAAGTCAGGATTGTCTTGAAGCAAAAATGGTTATTTATATAGATTTCTACCCACAAACAAGATGTATTATAAAACATTACCATGGGAGGAAAGGTATAATTGAACCCATTCCTCAGAGTTATTTTCATTCTAGACTAAGAATGAATACATTTAATTGTAACTTTTAGATTGATCCATTTATCCTGATTAATCACTTTGGTACCAGCAACCTCTCAGAGAAATAGTTTTCTGTATCTAATGAAGGCAAGAAAAATCAACACGTTTGTATAATTAAATTTAAACTCATTTACATATACTACATTTTGTTTTGCCTAAAAGTTTTATTCCTCTACCTTGAAAAAGACTGAAGAGAAAATTTCATAACATATAAATAAGGTAAACCTAATTTGGGGATATTTCAAGTAAAAAAAAAATTGTGTATTTATTTATTTAGTTATTTATTTATTTTACTGCAATCTCATATGTAATTGTGTGATGTGATTGCTAAAATGGCTATAAGACTAGCAAATTTTACTTGACTATCTCCTGTTGGCCCAGTCCTTAAGGCATTTGACTGCTAACCAGAAGTTTGGCTGTTCAAACTCATCAGCCACTTCACAGGAGAAGGTGAGGCAATATACCTCTGTAAAGATTTATAGCTTTGGAAACTCAATGGGAGTTGGTATGAGTCTGAATCAACTCTAGGGCAGGAGGCTTGGTTTTTAGGTTTGGATCCTCTGGAAAAGCAGTGGTTAAAGCATTCCGCTGAACAAAAGGTTGGAGATTCTAACACACCAGCTGCTCCAGGGGAGAAACATGAGACAATCTGCTTCTGTGAAGATTTATAGCCTTGCAAACCCTATGGGGCAGTACTACTTTGTCCTAACCAGTAGCTATGAGTCAGAATTGACTCAATGGCAGTGGTGGTTTTTTTGGGATCTTCAAATATCAATTAAATAGGGTTTTTGTTTTTCTATTATGATTTATGATGTTAAGATTTATTACATGTGTATTAACTGAGGTCTGGGACAAGTCACCACTGATATAAAATATCTTGGTGTTGAACATAATTACATTTAATGGAGGAAGAAGCAAGATACAGTGGGAAGGAAAAAAAAAAAAAAAAAGTCTCCATTAACTAATTGGTGACTTTGGATCAGTTTGTTTCTATACATGTAAGCAAATAAAAATGCCATCTTTACTGGTTTCATGAAAGGATTAAAAATATTATCTTTAATGTAATTAAAAGTAGGTTAAAAGTAATCTGCCTATCAAACTCCCAGTGTATTTAACAGCTCCTCATAGGTATTCAATGAACAGTAGATCTTACTGAGGTGGTAGAATGTGTAGTCTGTCACTATGCAGAATTCTGTTTGACTATATATTAACACATTCCTTGAGGTAGCATTATCTATGTGGATACTGTTCACAGTGAATGATTTTTTTTTTTTTTTTTTTTTCCATTTCAGTGTGTTGTAATCAGTTTTGTGTTTCAATCTGTTATTCTTTCCTCCCAAGGCCAATATTATACACAGATAAACAAGTTGTATAGTTGTGGGAATACAAGTGAAAAGGAAGATTTTCTACCCAAAAACTCACCACAATTAGATCAAAAAGCACGGCTTTGATAGAAGGCATTAAAAGATTATATCTTCGTAAGAATATTAGAGGAACTATGGTAGCTTAGTGCCTAAGGCACTTGACTGCTAAACAGAAGGCTGGAGGTTCAAACCCACCAGCCACTCCTTGGAAGAAAAATGGGGCAATCTACTTCCGTAGTGATACTGCCTTGAAATCCAAAGAAGGGTCGTTATGAGTCGGGTCTGACTTGATGGTACATAACAACAACAACAACGATATTAGTACCTAGAACACATTTAATTGTAGAAAAGCATCATAACACAATAAAAAGAGCACTGGAAAATTCCAAATAAGCCTCAAACTCACTCAAATGATTTAAGCTCTGTGAAGTTTAGTTCTCCACTTTTAAAATGAGTGAGTTGAATCTGATGTTCTCTAGGATTGTTTTTCATTATATTGTTTTTATTACTGTTGTTAAGTGTCACTGAGTTGATTTCAATTCATGGTGACCCCCTGTGACAGAGTAGAATTGTCCCACAGGGTTTTCTAGTTGTGGAAGCAGACCACCAGGTCTTTCTCAAGATGAACCCCTTGGTAGGTTCCAAAGTTCAAACTTTTGGTTAGCACCCAAGTGCTTGACAAAGCACTTTTGGTTAACAGCCAAGGGTTTCTATTTTTCATTACAATATTCCATTATTCTAAATTAGGGACAGAAGGACTAGGAGCATGGGGAAAGAAAAACAAGATCAATTGGTGAAGCCTTGGAGGTGCAATGGTTAAGCTCTCTTCTGCTAACCGAAATGTCTCTGGTTACAACATACTAGACACTCCATGGGAGAAACACCTGAAGATCTCCTCCAGTAAAAGATCTAACTTTTGGGCAGTGAATTTCAGGGTTCTGACTACCTGAAGTTTGACAGTTCAAACCCACCAGTTGCTCTGAGTAGGAAAGATGGGGCAATTTACTTTTGTAAAGATTTACTGCCCAGGAAACCCAGTGGAGGTTGCTGTGAGTCCTGACTCGATGGCAGTGAGGTTTTTTTTTTTTTTTTTTAAGTTTTGGACTACCTAAAAGGAGTCCCAATGACACAGTAGTTAAAGTGCTCAGCTTCCCACCACAAAATTGTCAGTTTAAATCCACCAGCCTTTCCATGGGAGAGAAATCTGATAATCTGCTCCCATAAAGAATTACAGCATTGGAAACCTACAGGGAAGTTCTACTCTGTTCTACAGTCACTGAGTCGGCATCAACTCACACAACAATAGGACCCATAAAAGAAAAATCACCTGAACAAAATTTGTCCACTTCCAACATATCAGTCCTGTTTTGATAATCTCTCAAAGGTGTTTACTTGAGTAAATTGACTATAACCAAACATTTTTTTGTTGTTGTTATTACCTAGGTTAATCTTGATTTCCACACCAAAGAAATCATTACAAAGAGCATCACCCAACCCTCCATCCACAGTTTTGATGCTGCACAAAGCAGAGTGTACCAGCTTATGGAACAAGATAGTTACACACGTTTTCTGAAATCTGATATCTATTTAGACTTGACAGAAGGAAGACCTAAGAGACCAACAAATCTTAGAAGACGATCACGTTCATTTACCTACAATGAATTCCAAGATGTAAAGTCAGATGTTGCTATTTGGTTATAAAAAAGTCTTAATTTTGTTCATTTTGATGGCAAACTCTTAAGTTGGCATCTGAGACGTAGAATGTTTATGCTAACAAATGGGTACATCAGTTGAAATAAAATACAGCATACAAAAGTATTTTCAAATTGTAAAACAAAATTTATATGAACAATGCTTTAAGTACCTGCTGATACAGTCTATAAAACTTTCTATATGAATTTATTCCAGTCAGAATCAGAGAAAAACTTATGACCTAATTAAGAGACAGTAAAGAAATAATGTTTTATAAAATTAAATAAAGGTTAAGTTTGTGCAAAATTTACAAGTTTGACCGCATATCTAGTTTGAACTTTTTGTATATCTAAACAAAATAACTTGGAGATAGTCCTATTTTTAGACAACATTTGCTACAATGATGAAGCCTTTTCTCAATCATAGAGGATGTAAATATGATCCATCTCTTATAATGGGAGAGGACGAACATTCATATCTTGCTTAGTACCCTAGCTCAAGAATAAATAACTTGTAAGTCACCAGTTGGAACTTTGTGGGAGGACTCATTCATCTCCAGATAGCTTTCAGATTAAACATAATGCAGGTTGGTAAATGAGACTGGCATGTGCATTTATGTTCATTGCTAAAGGAGCATGGAGTAACCCAGTTATATGGAGAACACTTCTACTGGTCACAGAGACATGACCAGGTTGAGACTGAATGAAACATCTTCTTACCTGCTAAGAGCACTTGCTACTAAAATAGGGGGCCACTCAGTGGTCTAAAACAGGAGGTCACTCAGTGGTTCAAGTGATGCTCAAAAGAGGTTTACCCAGAAGTAATCAGGTATCAGTTTGGACTTTTAGAGTTAGGGTAGAAATTAGAAATGAAAGATGGTAAAGACCCAAGAAGTCTGAGGCACTGGATAATCAGGTATGTGCCTGCCATATGGGCCCATATTCCAAAGGTGTTTTTCTGTTGGTATGTTCTTCCAAATCTTGTTAAATCATTTAATACTATGTTATTCAAATAAGAATTGTACTAATACATGTATAACTGCATCTCTTTTTTTAGGTAGATATTTAATTGCAGATGTGTATTGTATGGTCTGTAAATGTCTATATTTAAAGATGCCATAAACTCATCTTTGTCAAGTGTCATTTTATTTGAACTTTAACATATAAACACTTTAGATCATCTATAGTAATAAACATTTGAGTTAATTAACTTATATAGTGTTTGATTACTAAATATTTTCAGTGATTATTATCTTTTCTGATGACAAATTAGACATGACTTATTTTCTTGTTTTAAAATATTGGGATGTTGTTGTGTGCCGTGGAGTCCATTCCAACTCATGTTGTTGTTGTTATGTGCCGTCGAGTCGGCCCCGAATCATAGCGACCCCTCCTTGGGTTTCCGAGGCAGTATCACTACGGAAGTAAGATTGCCCAACCTTCCTTCCGAGGAGTGGCTGGTGG